CCCTCTGCACTTGTACTGCACTGGCCCCTTGGTACCCTTGTGCACCCACCCTGACCTTCACCACACCCCCCTCCTACCCTCGCACACCCCCACATATCCTTCCCAACCCTTGCGCACCCCCTTGCACCCTCCCCCACCCGGCAGCAGCCACTTACCTGCCCACTAAGCTGCCTGTGAGCTGCCTGTGAACTGCAACTTCCTGCCAGCTTCCCCAATAACTTAGTTGTGGGAAGCCAGCAGGTAGTTGCCTTGCTTAATGACCACAGGATTCCATTAACAGCAGCAACTGGGACTACAGGGATTGCCGTCACCAAGCGATGCAGTCGCGCTTTACAACCGCATTGCTTAGTGATGGAAATTCTGGTCCCAACTGCCAATGTAAATCAACGACTACCTGTAACTTTATACCTTACTCTTCTTTCCTCTAAGTTAAAAAGCACCAAGCGCTGTAGTGTTTCCTCACTGGGGACTTGCTTTTTTTTTTTTTTTTTTCCCCCTATAATGTTGCTTATGTGGTGGCTGGAACAACAGAAAGTATTCCTCCAGGCAATCCCAATTTTCCTTAATTTCTTAAAAGAACGACTGTCCCAACCACAACAACTGAAACACGGAATCCATGCTTAGTCAGAACATTAAAGATTATCCAATTTATATACATAATGCAAACTAACTGCTTGTCAAAGCGAGGAAGATTTCAGAGTATTTGCCTTTTGCTGCAAAAAAGAGGAAAAAGAAAAGAAGAAGGCTCAGCCTTCAAGCAGTCTTCAGACTGACCATCTTACTTTATTATAATTGTTTGTGGATGAGAATCCAGTTCGTCGAAGAGTTTCAGTTCTGAGTAGATGTCTCTATTTCAACTTCTTGACTTTTTGTACGCGTTGCTGCTTAAAATTGGGAGGTGGGGGGTGGAAGAGAAGTAGCCATCATCTCTAATCTGTTTATTAAAGTATTGTGGAGAGGGAACAGCAGCACCGTAGTGCTACTCTATTAAAAATAATTCATTTGTCAACTTTTGTTCTAATCCTTACTTTTTTTCAGGGTTTCTCCTCCCCCCCCCCCCAACGTAACATGTTGCAATACCTTTCTGGCAAATGAGGAAGCTGCACCAAAGCCTCGTTTCATGTCGTCACTTGGCATTCCAGTTGCCTAGATTGCCAACCCATGCGTTTGAGAGTAAGGTTTTAAAATCAGGAGGGAGATGGCACTCTTCATGTGCAAATCCATTACATGGCACCTTTTATAGTAGAGAAAGGTGAGCTCGCTGAAGCTGTCCCTTTATCCCTGTAATCCCATCTTCTGTTTCCTCATGAATAGGATTTTATCCCTTTTGTCTCTGTGCCTATTTTTACAGGACTTGATAGCTTAGGTAGTTACAATAACTCATCTGACTTGCTCAAAGTGTTTTGCTTAACAGCTGTTACAGCCTTTTACTGAAGGTAGATATAATCTACCTTCAAGGTCCGGCACATGTGCCCTTCAGTTCCCTTCAGAACCTGCACAGAAAGAAGGTTCAAGTTGCTGCTGGTTCACCTGGCCAACCTCAGAAGTCTGCTACTGATATGATGCTACTTGAAGAAGCATCAGAAAAAAATTCTATCTGCAGCAGAAAAAGCAAGCGAAATAAAGTAGCTTGCTAGCCACTAATCTATAAGGGTATCCTAGAGCAATTGGCCACATGCATAGCCTTTCCCCTTTTATTACTGCTATGTTCTTCATACCCACTAATGATACAGAATCCTACTGTACTTTTGGACTCCAGCACACATTAACATCTGGCAGAGTGAGCACCCTCCAGGTCTCTTTAATTAAACCATGCCATCTCTCGGGACCAAGGCAGGGCACCTTCTCTGTTGTAGCACTTGCCTTCTGGGTCTCCCGGAGATCTGTACAGCTCCCAGTCTGCAACTGTTAAGTCTTTGAAGACTCGGCTTTGGTCCCAGGCCTGCTCAGGGTAATTGTTGAGCCCTGTTGGCTTTTATTTTTTCTGGTGTTTGGGGTTTGTTTTCTCTGGACATACATGTTCCTTGTCCTTTTATTGTTCTTATTTTTAAAATGTGAGCTACCCAGAGTCATCTGGGAGTCAGGCAACATCTAAAATCCCATAAACAAACAAACAAACAAACATTCATTTGCATTAGCAAGGTTTCTCATATAGGAAGCTCTGCACTTCAGAGGGCAACAGCAAGAATAGGGATGCTGTTAAGGTAAGATTTGGGACAAAAATCCAGAGTCTCGCTGAGGAGCGAGCACAAATACAGTAGGACTGGCTTATGTTTTGAACTGAAAAAAAGATCTAATACCATATTAGCCTTCCTCAACTTAGTGCCTGAACTAAGACTCCCATCTCTGGTCCCTGGCCACGTTTCACATTATTTGTAAGATACTCAGTTGGGAAAAGCTCACCTAAAGAAAAACAAACCCTAAGACCCTTCATTTCCAAATCTCAAATTACCTAGCACACCACTGAAAGGACCAATGCTACTTAGGGGAAAAACCATCTGACTCTGCTTTTGCATGGGTACCTCTTAAATAGGACAGTAGCTGCTAAAAAAAAATGTTGGGTGCAAAAGGAGACTATGAAAGAAAGTGAACAGATGTGGCGGAAACTCTTAGAGACAGGCCTATGGAATTGAGATGAAAATGTGATTAAAAGAGATGGGCTGAGAAACCAAAACTATGTTCACAAGATAAAGAGAAAAACAGAAGAGAATTGTCAGCTCTGGGTATCTGGGGGGTGGTTTCCAAAGTAAAACTTTTGGTAGGCATTTATCCTGTTCCATTGATAGACATTTATTTACTTACTTATAGGACTTATATGGCTGCCTATTTCATATACTCTAGGTGGCTTTCAACAATCCATAAAAGTTAAAAACATACCCTTCCCCTCAGGCACCAGACCAAACATCCTCCCAGCTCAACCCCCCTCCTAGCCCAATGCCTGGGGGAAGAGCCAGGTCTTCACAGCCCTCCGGAAGGCTAAAAGGGGTAGTGGTCCCTCTCACCTCCAGTGGGAGGCTGTTCCAAAGGACTGGGGCAGCCACCAAGAAGGCATGCCTTTGAGGTCCCATCAGATGGCAACATTTAAGGGAGGGGGCCTGAAGCGCACCCACCCTATCTAACCTAGTAGGATAGATACTCTCAGGGAGAGGCAGTCCTGCAAGTAACCTGGCCCTGTGCCATGTAGGGCTTTAAAGGTGATAACCAGCACCTTGAATTGCACCTGGAAAGCAACTGGAAGCCAGTGCAGCTCACACAACAGTGATTTTATCTGGGTGAACCACAGGATACCCAAAACTGTGTGTGTCACTGCAGTCTGGACCAATTGCACCTTCCAGATGGTCTTCAAGGGCAGCCCCATGTAGAGCACACTGCAGTAATCCAAACAGGAGGTGACTAAGGCATGGGTAACTGTGAGCAAGGCCTCCTGGTCCAGGAATGGATGCAATTGGCGCACAAGATGGATTTGTGCAAAGGTCCCCGAGCCATGGCTGCCACCTGCTCTTCCAGCAGGAGCCGTGAGTCTAAGAGGACCCCCAAGTTGCACACCAGATCTGTATAGGGGAGTAATACCCCATCCCCATTTTATGGGGGATATAGATACCAACATTTCCACTTGTAACCCTCCTATATCTTTCTACCTGTCTAAGCGAAAACTGAAGAGCTGCACTATATATATTTATTTGGTAGCATTAGAGACCATCCACTTAAGAACTTCCCAGATCCTAAGGATTTCCAGACTAGAGGTTCCTTGGTTATGCTCGTTCTTAATCTTTTTACTCCTATTCTTCACATACTCTTCTGGGGACAATAATATGTTGCTAACTTATGTTTTCTTGAAGATGAAAAATGGCTGTATGTGGAGTTGACACAAATGCATGATGAATATACTTCTGTACTTTTCATATTGATCTCGAACTTACCCTACCTTCATTCTGTTTTTAAAAATAATTATAGTTGTCGCTGTTCAAATCACATCCATATAGCCATGCTTTCTGGCTGTAAGAGATTTTCAGATGCATTCTAGCTCAGAGGTTTATCCTCTATATCCCAAGATAATACATAATATTTCTTATGAAAATATGGTGATGTTGTTCTTGAGGTTTAGATTTTGCTTCTTTATTTGAGAAATAAATTATAAATGCCTATTTGAAAAATAGTATATTTGGAATTACTTCCTGAAAGAGAAAAGAGCCCTTACAATGCCATCACAGCCTTTTAGACAGATTAGATTCAAAGTGAGCTTTGCCAAAATCATCATCATCATCATTTTGCAGAATTTGCTGGTTTTATCATTGCTGTATTAATTGGTCATAATTGCCACGGGGGGGGGGGTGGTCTATATTCCATTTTGTATTCTCTAGTTGTATTTTATTATTTATAAAATTTATCTGGCCGTCCAACTCAACTTTGTGATTCTAGGTAGCTCATAACACAAAAACACACAACACAATATTTCGTTTTTTAAAAAATACTGCAGTATAACAGGCCCAGGAAACTGTCATACAGTAAAAATGTCATCCATACCAGGCTCAGTTGACAATTTGGTCCCAGTGCCTGAGGGAAAAGCCAGGGACCCAAAGGCTTTACGAAGGCTAACCAGGACAGGAACATCTGGATGTTATTTGATTGTATGTTGCATTGTTTTTAGTATATTGTATGTTAGCTTGTGTACTTCAGTATAATGCTGGATTGCAAGTAAATAATTCCCCCTTGGAAGGTGAAGTGATCTTGCTAGGGAATAAATGAAGACTGTGAAAATTGCAGTAATGGAGGAAAAATATATGCCTAGTATGATTAAGGAAGATATCGTGTTCAGATACAGTTTTAAATCAAAAGGTGAGTAGCAATTATAAATCTGCATTTAACACAGACATGTGTGTGGATTTATTAATACTCATTTTGAGAGGGAAAGACTTCAGGTCAAAATTATATTACGGTTTAGAACTTTCTACTGAATATCTCTGATGAATATAAATTATCTAGACTTTTGTAAGATTTTTTAAAAATGTCAACTGACTCAAAATAACTTTATCTAAATGTTATCATCATAAGTGCCTTTGCTTCTTGCTAACACAGGGTTAGCAATGAAAAGTTGCTGTGAAGAAGTCAGAGCTCAGATGTGGAAACCCCCCAGTCTTCACTCAAAATTATTCTGGTTACATTGTTGGCTGGGGAAAGCCTCTGGCTAAAAAGTCTGTACATGGGTCTGGATTAGGTGAATCAAAATAAACTCATATGAAGTTGAAGATGAGAGTCACCTGTTGGGGGAGATGGGCGGCACACTAATTAATTAATTAATTAACTAACTAACTAACTAACTAAATAAATAAATAAATACCATCCTAGGAGGATGATGGAGAGCTTAGCTGCCTCAGTAAAAGATGGTCCATCCATTTTCATGTGATGACTATTTTCACGTGCGTAATCCCTCACCTGCACCCCAGCTTTTTAAAGTGATGCCTCTATTTCCATTCGGTTTGCTTTTTCCTCGAGAAAACCTGCATGATTGTTCTGAACTCTAAAAGGCTTCTTGAGAGAAATACTATCCAGCCTCTTCTCTTCATCTTCATCAGCCTCTTCCTGAGCCCAGTGGGGCATACAGTCATGCTCAGAGTTGCTCCTAACATATCCAGGCAAATTTATATGGGTATCATTCTGCCCTATGGCTTTCCTGCATGCTTTGCTGGAAATCAGCCTCATGCGGGAGTTAGCACCCATCTGAGCCTGGCTGCTGGTGCTCTGGGTCACATTAGTGAGGACAGAGCCATAGTGAGAATTCCCACAAGGAACAGTCCTCTTCCAGTCCATCCCAAAGTTCCATTTAGTCCATGTCTTCTTGAGCTCAGCCTGCACCTAGGGGAATAGAAAATGGCCAGATCAAAATGTCAGGAAGAAGCCAATGGCTTGAAAAGCTTATCTCATCTTCACTTGGAACTAAGCTTTTCCTTTAATATTATATTTACAACCAAATATACTGTATTCAGGAATTTATAGTTTGCTAGCATAGCACCATGGTTAAGGTATTGGCTTGTGACTAGGGAGATCCAGGTTCAAGTTTCCACTGAACCAAAAAATTATCTGGATGGCTTCAGACCAGTTACTATCTCTTAGCCAATAATCCCATAGAGTTATTGTTGTCGATAAATTGGAAGAGGGCTATCCCTATATTTACTGACTAGTTCTTTAGAGGAAAAATGGGTTATAAATGTAATAAATACATTATAAAGAAAAATAAGTAATAGGTAGTGAGTAGGGGACTACAGCTGAATGGAAGTGGAGCAGCAGTACACATATAATGAAAGAGCAAAGAGCCACTCAGAACACAAGCTTTGCTGACAGAACAGCATTATTTTCAATTCTATTTCCACTGCCATGAGGATTACAATTATTTTTAAGCAAAAACAGAGATGTTCCAGAATAAAAGTTATATACTGGTTCTAGTTACTGTGAAAAATTACATGTCTTCAGAAGAATAAATTTTTGCACTCTGTGTAAATACTAAGATTGATACCTAGTGTATCAGTCAGACATCTCAACTTCCTCTCTATACCAAAAATAAATCTGAAGAGATAATTAACTGAGTGAACAGGTACAATGAAAGTGAGAGCTGAATCATAAGCAAGATTCTGATGCATCCTTTTGCTTCCCACTCATCCTTACACTCAGTTAAAATGGACACTATTAACCTTTTATTACTTAAATTGTTTTAAAAAAACAACAGGATCCAATAGTGCCTTAATTACAAAACATGCTACTGCCTTCTATGACAACATTTCACTGGGTATATAATCATAAATAAATGCTATGAATCAGGGAAATCCATATAATCTTCCTCTCATGCAGGGAAAGCTCCAGTTGACATTAATCAAATATAGTCTGCACTATGAAACTTTGTAATTAACAAATCCCGCTGATTTAAATAAATCTCAGATGAGTAAATTTGGATTTAACACTGTTACTGAAACCTGTACTGAACCTGTAGTTATTTGCATCTTCAGAGATGTGAATTCATATATACAAACTGCAGAAGAGACAAATGACACAGTTGCTTCTGCTCACTGTTTTACAGATAGGGAAGAAGATATTTATCTCAGGTAAATTAATATATTCTGTAGTGAAGGGAGAAGAAACACCCCAAGAGGTTCTGAAGTGAAAGATCAAATCTAAATCTGCCATTCTAGATACTGGGCAGAGATTAGCAAAACTTGGGAAACTCCAATCCTAAGCAAGCAGTTGGGAGCAGAAAGGTTTTCTTCTCTTCCAGGTGAGCTTTCAAAAGAGGAGGGGACCAGCTTCATTTTGACTTTGTTCTTTTGCTGCCCTCCCAGGAGGAGATGGTATCTGTTCCCCAACTGCCTTCAGCCAGATAAGAAATCCACCCCAATTTGGAGAAGAGGTGGAGAATCAGAAAGAAATAGCCTTCCTTGGAAATGGGGAGATAGATGTGAACCTGGACTTTTTCAAGATTCATTTTGTGGATTGATCCAAGTTGTTTCCTTACTCTTATTTTAGAATTCATTCTCTCTCTCTCTCTCTCTCTCTCTCCCCCCTCTCTCCCTCCCTCCCTCCCTCCTTATTTTCTTTGTGCCTCTGGATTAAAGCCTGCAGGATCCTTGATATTTTCCTTTTCCTTTCAATTCACCATTAGCTCCTTAATCTTAATCTACATAAATAAACGATGTGTACCTTTTGGGCTCAGCAGTCTCATTTTGACAGTAGATTTAGCCTACTGTACACCCCAACCACTCTGCTAGCCACAGGAAGGACAGCCAGCTGTGAGCAGAGGTAGTTTTCCATGCACCTCCCCTTAAATAAAGGCACACCGAAGACTTTTCTCTATAAAGAGAAAAGATTGGTGGGAGGGTGCAACAGTAAGGAGTGTGGGGAATGGATAAGAACCCCACCTGAGAGAGCCAGAGGCGCAACCCACTGCATCCCTGTGCATGAGTATGCAAACACACACACACACACACGCATTGCACACCCATATCCACTAGAAACCTACCTCTCCGTTACAGTAGCAATAGATGATGGAGACAAAAAAGCCCTGCAGAAGAAATTGAGAATAATAATTTTAAAAGGAATGTTGTTATTGTTACCTTGAACCATAAACTAAATGAATATATTTTTCTATAAATCTGTAATTAAGTGTGGATCAGATTTAGGGTTAGAGTTAGGGTTAGTATTGTTATAAGGGCTAAATAAGATTTAAAGAATTTGTATTATGAGCACTATTAGGCATTATGGTTACTGTAGAAGTTATAGGTAAGTTATAGTTAAGGTGAGTGTTAAGGTTTATGGTTAGTATTGACATTAGGTTTAAGTTACAGTTAGGCTTTAGTGTTAGTGTTAGGTTTGTGTAAGGTTTAAGGTTTGGTTAGTATTATTTTTTATGGTTAATGTTAGCATTAGAGCTGAGTTAGGGTTGGGTTTGGCTCAGGTTAGCGTTAAGATTAGGTTGATAGGGTTAATAGAGGTTTTGGTTAGATTTCGGCTTAAGTTGAGAGCTGGAGGTATTGCGTATAGTTAGAGTAGTATTGGGATTAGGGTTAGCCAAATTGTAATACTAACTAAACTAGCATTATTAGGGTTAAGTTAGTATTACAGTTTGACTAAGTTTAAAATAGTGTTAAGATAAGTCTGGGTTGGGATAAAAATTAGCGTTAGGGTTGATGTTTACTATTAGCAGTAGAGTTAGTATAAGTTAAGGTCAGGTTTATGTTTAGTTCTGCTGTTAGTGTTAACAATAATTTTAAGACTGATTTGGGAAGCTCTTCAAATGGCTTCATAATGTAAATTTAACATTTTCAATGCGTGGGTAACTGACTCCCACTACCCTGTCTACAGGGTTGGGTTTTGTTTTATTTTGGAATGTATCATGATCAAACATTAATACAAAGAACTTGTGAGAGATCTACGATTGGTTTTGGCCTCAGATGTGCCCTGGGGAAACATGACTCAAGAAAGTCTGTAGTTGTGATGGAATGGACTTATGAAGGCCATGCTCAGGGAGATAAGCGTGTTCTTAGCCCCCAACAAGAGCATGGGAAGTTCAAGAAGATGAGGCTGGCACCTCCCTAAGGAATTCACGGTGTTGTGGCTGGCTGGCTTGGGAACTAGGGTTCAGTCTGGGGAGATTCTGTCTTGAGGTGGAAGCTAATAAATGCAACAGAACTGTATTTGCATTGTCTCTTGGAGTTCTTTGGGCTGAACTTGACAGTAGTATAACTAAAGCACATAGTCTCACTCTTCTAGGAAAGAATGTGTATTTGCAATGTGTTACTATGAGTCCTTAGAATTGCTTAAAGCCATAGCAAGGATATAGCTTTATCTGTAAGGGTGTTTTCTTAAGGATATCATTCCTCTCTATCATTCTAGAAATAATTTTACAGCAATCTTTAAGGACAGTACAGATTATTGGGTGATGAAAGGGAAAAGGTGTGGAGGAAATGGAAGAAGAGATTCTGAAACAAAACGAAATTAAATAGGTGAATTTAATTAGCAGATACTGATAGAGCATAGTAATTGCTCCAGGGTTTGTTTGTTTTTTTCTATTCAGGCAACAGAGATTGGAAGGCATTAAATGTTATGATATGATCATGATGTTGCAGCTGTATTTCATCTGCTATGCTCCAAGGACGAAAGTGTTTTATAAAGTAAGCTCTGTGCTTATTTCACATCTTTAATGCAAAACATTTTAAGGTGCAAATGCTGCTAAAGAATCTCGGATTGTCACACACATACAAAAGATTTTTACAAAAGCAAACTCCATGAATAAATATTTTTTTCAGGACTTTCTTGCGCCAATCTTTTGAGAAAACAACGCAAGGATATTGTGCAGCTTTAGAAGTTAACAAGTTTCTTATGGCATAAGATTTGAAAACTGCAGTCCATTTTGCTACAAATACACACCCATTCCTGTGGTCAAACGTAAAAGATCAAAAGTTAGCTACATCTGGAGAATTATGGGAAACCTAGGGCTAATAATGGCTTCTCTTATGCAACATCTTCAGCAAGAAAAGAGGACTAAGAAACACTTGGAATCATCTCTGTATCTAATTTTATCCGGAGGACTTTGGGGTTGTTTTTTAGAGTTGAAGAAATGTGTGCAGACTAAATTGCATGCTTACAACATAAATTTGATTTTCAAATTTCCTTGCACATTGCAGAATTTTGGAATGTGCCTTTCCTTTTCATGATCAACTCTCTACTAGATATCTCTTATCCTGCAGCAGGCAATATGGCAAAGGGCTACCTCCTGGATTTCATAACTGAACATCAGAGTTGTTCATAAATGATAAGGTATTACCATGCCACCAGACCTGGAATGAGTTGAAGAAGAGTTCACAGTGCATCCGGATCTCCCAGCCTAATCCAGTGAATGTGTGAGGCAAGCACACAAAGACAATGTAATGCACACCAAAGACAAGGATCAGAATTAAAGTGGATTTTGCTAGTTTTCTGGAAGAGAGTTAAGAGAAGTTATAATTATGAGACTGTCACATGCAGTATAAGATGAACATGACATAAATTGCAATCTTACACACACTCAGACCCTTCAGAGCTTCCTAGCTATAAAGGATATTTGCCAAAGGGGGATGTATAGTTTGGCCAAAGCAGAGTCACTTGTGTGGAAGCTCTGCCTGGAGCACCCGCTGATGACCCAAAGGGCGTGGGATCTCACTTGAGGCCCTGAAGTCTGGATAGATTGGCCCAATTAGACTGCAGGCCAAACGTTTCCTATGCCTCGTTTTGGTGCTGTAGAGAATATTTCTGGAGTTGATGATGCTTGTCATTCCTCCTGTTGCTACAATCTCATGACTATCCCTTCCTGTACAGTATATACACTCTTTGTTGCAGAATTGAAACTAGACTAGCCCTCCACCATTCAGATTGCTGCTGCTTCTTTTGCTTTATCTCTGATTTTAATTATCAGATAAACACGACTTATATCATTGTCTCATTTTTTCCCCTAAGGGTACTTGGCTTGTAGCATGGAATTGGGTAAAGCATATTTATCCATCCAACCCTGCAATGTCTGGCTTTAATTAACTTGATAGCAAGACTGAAAAACACACCCAAAGGTTTCTAGTTTTAATTGGGAGCTCCAATTTACAAAGACTGGTGAACTATGAAAACACATTGTATAAAAGTACAGCATGTCAGTAGCTTGTCCTGGGTGAATTTTAATTTGGCTTTTCTGTTTCTGCTTGTGTGCAGGGAGGGGGGATGTTTAAGCAGTGTGACAACCAGGGATATTTTTGTAAGGATTAGTTTTGGTGTACTGTTTTCAACATGACTGAGTATTGTGATTTGACATACAGATCTTAACAGTTGCATGAGAGGGCTTCAAATATTTGGAAACTCTATTATGAAATAGATTTATAATCTGTCTGCATTATATATGTCCTTTCTGTATCTGTGAAGTTGCATCTTTAGAATTCTTGCTAGCTGCTTCCAAGTTGGTCAAAAGAGAAACAACACTGCCAGAGTATTGTAACAATAAAGTTTAGATGTCTCCATCATCTCTTGTGAGCAGTGATCACTTTTTATGCATCAAATACAACTGGAAAATCCAGACAATGGAACTGCCCATCCAGATTAATTTAGCACATTTCACAAAGCTCAATGTAAAACTGGCTTGTATGTGATTACTATTAGATAAGACAACAGGAAGAAGGAACAGATTGTTTGCACAATTATTGTGAGGCAGGGCCATCATTCAGAAATAAAGCACATGCCTTGCATGCAGAAGGTTCAGTTACAAGATTTTTCAGAGGAGGCTAGTAAAGATTATTGTCTAAAATCCTGGAGAACTACTGCAAGCAGCAAGCTAGATGAACAAATGGTTTCTTCCTGAAAGGCTGATTTCAGTTGTCAGAAATTGCAGCTGTGGGTGAATTAGTCCTGGATTAACCATGAAGCAAAATAAGCACATGTGTAGAGCAACAAGTGAGGGCAGCACCACAGAATTTTTTCCCCTAGCTATCATGCTCTTGACTCTTTCACTGCCTTTAGTTTTCAGCACTTACTGAGTCTTAATGTCTTGTCAGTGAAGCAGTGGAAGGGCCGAGGGGCACCATTGTTGGGCTGTGCTTAGGGCATCAGTTGGCCTCAGTCCTGGCCTACTCATCAGAACCCCAACATAAGCTAGGTCCATCTAAGTTGTCTTAGTTATTCTGTGAAGACAATATTGGTTTCTCTCTCCTGTTAACATGTGTTTCTTTTCTTCTCTTTATAAATCATTTCCAGTATTCAAGAAAAGCTTTAAAGAACTCAATACACATTGGCAGAAATACTAAGAAATTATTGCATTTTGGTGTGGAAATAATATGTACAGCTAAACACCCCCAAAGATGAAGAAATGAAAGCTAATTTGATTATAGCATGTATGCTTCACTCTGTTTCTCTGATGTTTTTATAATCATTTTTTAAAAGACCAGAATGGGAAAGGAGTCTTTCAAACATTGAAATGTCTAGATTTACATCAAATTCTGTATCCAATATCAGGAGTCAAAAATGAGTCTCAGCTTTTCCACATTCCTGAGCATCTAGACTTTCTTTTTAGTTGAATTTCACACAGATCTTGGTATACTAAATCTGCTAGTAATTTGTATCCCCATATGGGCTTTTAAATCTAGTAGGAAACATGGTGATACACACACACACACACACAGTATGTGTGTGTGCATGTGCATTTTCCCACAACTCCTATGTGTGATGTAGATTATCTAGTTTAATCTTTTATATGATGCAAGAAATTCAGGCAAGTGATTTTTGTCTGGCTTCTGCCTGAGAACATCCATGGCAAAGGCAGCTACATTATCCTAAACAAGTTTTTTCTTACTGTTGAACTGAAATTGATCCTCCTATAACATGAGCTTATTATATATAATCCAGCCATCTGAGAAAGCAGAGGACTTTTCTTTGCCTTTCGTACACAACCAGTCCTTCAGGATTCTAACCTGACTTTTCTCCAGGCAAAACATAACCAGGATATTTCCAAATGGAAGACTTCTTCACTACAAGTCAAGACATTGTATCTGACAAACTCAGTTCTAGTAGTGACTGCTTCTGGAAACACAATATACCTATATTGCTTTCCGACATCGTAGCCAACAGCATTAGTCTCCCAGATTTTCGTTGCCAGCACCCGCACAGTATTCAGGAAGAGAACAAAGTTTAGCTGTAAAACAGAGTTGCGTTATTCCATCATCTTTCAGAGGTATCTCTTCTAAACAAAAGGCAGCTGCTGCATTTCTTTATGCCTGGAAAGTTTTGAGGACATCTTTCAACACTTTATTATATCTGAAACATAATACTCTGTCAAGATGACTAGGCAGCGAAGCTGAACTAGTATAAAAAGTCCAGAATCTGTGACTGGCCACTTCCAATGTTACTACACTTGTTTAATTTATCCCACCCACCTAGGAAGCCCTCCAATTTTTATCTAGGTTGTTGGACAGCTTCTGAATCAGACCATGCTGAGAAGCTAGTTGAAAAGTACATGATTCCACAAAGTTTGGAATCAAACTAGCCAAAATAGTGACAGCCATGCTAATTTAGCTGCTTCCTAGACTAATTCCTTTATTAGGTCTCTGATTTCTATATTAAACAATAAATTTCCTCATAGTTGCCAAAATGCCTCTTTTCTGAACTTCACACTGATAACTGGAAGCGAGCAAAGCTAGAACAGTCTTTTCCACTATGAAAAAAACAAATGATGCATCGCTGTATTGGAGCTAGGTAGAAAAACCAGTATTACTTACACTTCCATTTGCAACTAATTGCAAGAAAGCAATGCCAGCAGTATTGAGTTAACCTGCTGTCTAAGTGAGCCAGACCAGGAGCTGGCAAACAGGGATGATGGAGACACAGAATTCATCCCAGGAGATGCTCCAGCTCTGTGCAACTTACATACCCCACAAAGTAATGCATCTTGCACCTTAATGTACAGAATAAGACTTTAAGAAATACAATACATTTTAATGGCATCTTTTTTTTTTAAAGGGGAGATGTAATTTTATCTTTCAACAGGCAATTTAAAGTGACAGCTTTGAAAGGATGTGCAGTGCAGTGTTGAAATAATTCAAGCAGCTCCAAAGAAGAAAAGACAGTGCAATAATGTGGCATTTATGGTAGAGAAGGAGTGTTTTGTTCTCACATATCAAAAGCAGTCACAGCATCTCACTCCTGATTGTGACATAAAACACCATCTCCTGTTCCATAAAGTACAACAAAAAGAAAAGCACTAATAAAGGTGATTGCTCAGCTCTCTGTCAGCCAGAATGCTTTCTTGTGCAGGGACAATACTGTCTATGGGTATGGAGGAGGAATTATCCTATGAGAGGAAGCTCCTGGCTTAAGAAAGAGAAGAAAACAGCAATACTGCAGCTATTGAGCACGTCTGACCATAATAGAGCTACAGTTTCAAGACAGTCTCCCACTCCTTTCCCTTGGAAGACTGGAAGAAGAAAAAGGGCTTCAAGTTTCAGACTGTCTTTGAAAATAAGAACACAGAAAGCTACCTTTAAGGGAAGTCAGACCATCCCACTCAAAATTATTGCCCACCTGCTGATGGAGACTTTTTTCCTAGCCTATCTGGAGAAGCCAAGAACTGAACCTAAGACCTGCATGAGAAGCATCTATTCTTAACACTCAACTACAGGTCTTCTCTCTGAAGGTCATAATTATGGGACTCAACAAACTTGAATGAATAGCATAGGGACACTCAAACCGCAAAATATGTTGATAAGGTATGCTGGAAGATGCAGTGATGGGGAAATGATTGATCTCTACCTTCTATGTCACGATCTGAATTGTTAAAAAACAACATCCAAATGAGAAAATAGCAAATAAGGATGGTCAGGTGTCATAAGATTACATGGGATAGTGGAATGTCAAAACCCTGTTGGTCTCCCACAGTCATTAAGACTTAGGGAGAGAGCAGAGATGCTAGCCTCATTTTGTTAATAACAGGGTTATCATATCTGGTCTGCAAAAATATGGAGGTCACTAGATGGCAAGAAAGAATAATCATTTTCTATATCTCTCTGCTATCATCCAGCATTTTACAGCCCCTAATATATACAAAGACAGTGTTCAGTGTTTACTAAAAATATGTATATGAGTAATCCTACCCCAATAGCCACTAAAATTGGAGCTTGATATATCCATTTTATGTTTCCAGCACTAAGCTCCCAGCATCTGTGAAATCAAGAATATATTTTTAATACAGAGTAAGAATAAACAGTATCACTGTATATTAATTTTCTGTTAGATTCATTCTGGAGAGTGTACAGAAAAAATGTCTCAAGCTTTTAAAAAGGCTTTCCAAATTCTTTCATCATTAACAAACCCATGCAGGTTTCTGGGAGAAGAAGCAGAAATAAATATGTAAATTTCCATCTTCACTGTAATTCCAAGCTAATCATTCAAGAGCCCATTCAAGAAAACTATGGTCCAATTTTCAGAAATAGTCAAATAATAAAGACACACTTTTTCTTAGTTGCACTAGTTCTGGGATGGAAGGTGGAGGGTTCGAATATTGGAATGTCCAACTAAAGTCTGAAAAAAATATGTATGAAGGTGTGTGTGGAGGGGGGAATTAAGCCTGAGATTAAGCACGGTTTCATTCTGAGCCCATTCTCCTTATATGATTTTTGAGGGCTAGTTGCTCATTTTACTTATTTTAATTATTTCTAATAAAATAAAAAGAGAAATGGCATTCAGTGGCCCATCTGTATTCTAAGTGTGGCTTACAACAGAATTAAAAATTCAAAATTATAAACCAAAAATAGAGTACGCTTGTTTAAAAGATAAAGAATGTGAAAAGCCTGGGGGGGGGTGGAATCCTGTGGCTGCTACAATAGCCAAGTGAGCTTCTCTGTGTGGGGCATCCAACACGACAGAGTATCGCTACTAACAAGCCACTCTCCCTCCTTACTATCTATCTGCCTCACATCTGCTGTTGGAGGTGCCCAGTGCCTGCCTAGCCTGATGTGGGAGAAGATGACCAAAGAAATCTGGGTCCTGAACACTCCAAGGGATTCAGAGAGAACCATCAGCCCTGACTCAGAAGTGAACTGGGTAAAAAGGCACATAGGATTTAAATGGAATTTGCTTCTTTAGATAGATCCCTGTGAGGCATATTGCATCTTCAGAGGACTTGTTGCAATGGAAGAATACACCACTTCCATTTATGAATTCATAAAGTCAATTTCTGCCTGGCTAAAGATGCAATTTACATAAATGTCTTCTACAGAGATTTTGAACTAATTTGAGGAATTAAACCAAACAAACCAGGAAATATCCTTTCATCCAAAAAATGACACCAAAAATTCTCACCGATATAAAATTAGTATGTGCTACTTCCGCATAGTAAAAAATAAACAACATGTTAGATACTGTAGTATAGGGTAACAGAGCTTAGATGGCTGCTCCCTGATGTGAAGTATATCTTGGAGGGAGGAATTGGTGCTCTTCTCAGCTATTTTTCATCTGAAACTTTCCTCTCTAAGCTGCTTTACATCTATCTTGAAAATATGGACTGGCACATTTGGAAGGCAAATGCAGCAGCAGAAGGCAATTGGAAAGACAGGGTACAGAAAGCATATGGTACAGTTGGCTCAGGAACAGAAAATCAGTACCTCTTTGTGTAATCTCTCAAGCAGCGTTCAGCTCAGCTATTTTATTTCAAGTATTAAAAGTTGTAGCTAAAACTGGAATCACCCACAGTGGTGTGTAATCTCCTCCTGTCAGAACCTGCATCAACCAACAATTGTTAATTTACAAAGCATAGCAGTCAATGGGAGTTTGATTGATTTTCTTCTGCCAGCTGTGACTAGGAAGGGGGGCTAGTAGTTAATGGTTGTAATAGGAGTAGTACTGGGAGATGGTGAGGAGCTTAACCTTATATAGGCAATGAGGCCCGACCTGATTGCAGGCAAGGCCAGTGGGGACCTGAT